TGGCTACTAGAAGCTGCTATAGTCAATGCTTGGTGTATATCCAAGAAGTGTAAACATCAAACACAGCTTACCCAACTAGAATTCAGACGAGAGATTGCTCAAGCCTATCTGATAAAATATGGCATGGCTTCAAAAGGTGCTGGAAGACCTGCGGCTGCTAAATCAAGTTTATCTTTTAATAGGGTTTCGGATAACTTGAGATATGACAGAACAGACCATTTTTTGATAAACATCCCCAATAATAAGAGGCGTCGATGTGCTGGAGAAGGTTGTAGCTCAAGTATTCGTACTATGTGTGTCAAATGTGATGTAGGATTATGTCTAGAGTGCAATATAATGTTTCACAGCCCAAAGTGATAATTTTCTTGTCCAAAAATTTTTTGTATACCCTAACCGGCTAGCGTTACCAAAACGTAACGACTATTTTTTTTTAAATTACATATATTTTGAGAAAAATACTTGTACCAATATGTTTAATAAAGTGTTTTGACCAATATTTATGATTTTTCCTTTCCTTTTTTGCAAAAAATAAATTTCGCCGTTGAAGGGTTAATATTGCCTTGGAAAAGGCAATCAGACAATTAAATATTAGAATGAATGGAACTATTTTTAATAGATAATAGATAATAGGCAGAAGTATAAGAGACACGGTGCAGTAATTTACAAGGCTTGCGGACGCAGCAAGTGAATTAGGATTTGTGGTAAACGAGGAAAAAACCAAATATATGTTGGATTCTAAAAATAGAAAACAGAACTGTTCACTTTCTCTCTAGAAACATTTAAAAATAAAAATATAAAACGTGCAGTAAAGCTTAATATATACAAGACCTTAATAAGACCGGTTTTGATATAAGGGGCTGAAACGAGGACCTTATCTCAAAGTGATAAAAAACTTCTTGGTATTTTTGAGAGAAAAATTCTTAGAAAGATTTTTGGGGCCGTACATGAAAATGTGAAAATATAGAAAACTACCGACCAATAATCACACCTTTACAAACTACTAATCCAAATAATTACAAATAGATTGACAGCTAAGCTAGATGCATACCAACCAGTGGAGCAAGCAGGCTTTCGTAAGGGTTTTAGCACTATCGATCACTTGCAAACAATCGGACAGTTATTCAAAAAACAATAGAGTACAACATACCACACATCTGGCATTTGTCGATTAACACAAAGCATTCGACAGTATCGAGAAATGGGCTTTCTTATCAGCATCGGACGACGCCAGAGTAGATTCAAGATATGCTGCCCTCCTTAAGAATATATACGATGATGCTACTTTTCACGTAAAAATAGATGATGATCTGGAAACTATGAAAATAGACGACCTGTCTCACACCTTTGGCAAAGGTGTGAGACAGGGCGACACCATCTCATCCAAGTTATTTACTTTAACATTAGAAAATGTCTTCAAAAAACTAAATTAGGCCGAAAAGGGATTAAAAATAGATGGAGTATTGCGTTTCGCAGACGAGATAGTACTAATAAGCACAGTGAATCTCGACAAAACAAAGATATTAAGCAACAGCCTAGAAAACATCACGATAGATAACATCAATATAGAAAAGGTAGAACAATTACATGCAATTAAAAACGAAAAGGAAAATCAAACCCTAGAAATTAAAAGAAGGACACAATTGTCATCGAGCTGCTTTTGGTAAGTTGAGCTTCATTTTAAATGATAGAAAAATCCCAATACACTTAAAACGAAAAACCTATGACACTTGTATACTACATACAATGTAAAACTGGTTCTCTCCATAGACGAAAGTATTACTGAAGCATTATGTTAATGTATTGTTGGCAAGCGATACAGAGCAGTGTGAAAACATGTTGCTGTTGCGATGCTTTACTAAACCTGAAAGATCGTGGTAAATGATACATAAAAGATACCTGCACTAAATGAAAGCAAGTTTGGCATATGCCAAAGAAATAGACGACTGGAAGTATCACCAAAGAAAGCCGAACAAATAAATTTTAGTTCCTGTGTGCAATGTGAAAAAAAAACAAATAACAAACTTCTGTTATAATCCAAGACCACAACAATACAGAAATATGCCTAATTTTACTGATAGTGTAACATATTGGAGTAAAAAATGTGAGAAAATAGCTATCCATGCCTATGAGGAGGTAACTATTAACCATTTCATTAGCTGTGGACTTTTTATTTCATTGAACCATCCTTATTTAGCTGCTTTTCCTGATGGACTTGTGGAATAACTAACTGTGTTAGAAGTTAACTACCCCTAGTCATTAAAAGATTCAATTATTAGTTCTGATAGTTTGGCATATTTAGAAATGAAAGGAGATTAAATTCAAATTATTATAATCAACTGCAAACTGAAATGTTTGTTACTGGTCTTGAGTTCTGTGATTTTTTCACTTGGATAAAAAAAGATGAGATGTATTTCTATAGGTGGAAAAAATGATTTAATTCATAATAAAATAAACCCTCATGCCAAAGAGTTTTTTGAGTAGTATATGGTTATAGCATTGTCTGAAAAATACTATTTCTTACCAAAGTAGATAATCTTAATCTGTATAACAAAATAAAAGACAAATAAATAGTATTTATGTTAATTTTATTAATTTTTATCTATTATGTTGCTCCAAAAATTTGCTAACATAAAGCATACAACTATTATCCTTTATATATAATATTTAGTTTATTGTAGATACATGTAAATGCATTTCTGTCACACATATTTATCTCTTCTAATTGCCACAATCCACTTTTTTCTCGTCAGATTATTTTTGAAAAACCTATGTTTTGATATTCTCGATGAGCACAAAAGAACAGCACAACACAGGCATCTTATTATCCCAAAATAAATTCACACAGCGAAATAAATGCAATATTTAATTAAAAATATATAGATTTGGACCGTTGATGTGACCTCCAACTACACTAGTGCCATCTACGTTGAGCTTTCCAGATTAGCTGCCATTGAGGTGGAATGACAAAATAGAAGAGCTAGTTTCAACAAAAATGAAGCTTTACCAAAAAAGCTAAGTACTAAAACTGATGGGGGTCAGATGGAATACAAGACAATAAACTAAGCAGTGTAAACAACTCTAAAAGAAAAAAAAATTGATTTATGTTACTGCAAATAAATACAAACTTATTGACAGAAGAAAGGAGAAAATACCTGCAAAATGATGTCATGGGTTTAAACATAAAGAGGGAACCTGTAAATATTAACATGGAATCGTTTAAAATAAAAGTGACTAGTATAAACAATGGTAAAACTTTCAGTCCAGAAGATATCTCGGTAGAATTAATTCAAAATGGAACATTTAAACTTTTTCAGGTGTTAACAAAAATCTTTGAATCATTTCTGAATGGACATCCACTGCCAAACTAATGAAAAATGGCATATTTTATATATCCACAAAAATGGAAACAGAAGAAATACTGAAAATTATAGAGGAATATTACTAAGATAATTAGAAACAATTTTAAAAACATATTACTAAATATTTTAGCAAATCTAAACTTAACAGAAATTCTTTTGAGCTTCAGACCATTGTAAACCCCTTTACCATAAAAAACAATTTCAAAAAATACTACTAAATACTTTAAGAAACCTAAATGTATAGTTGCCAACAAATTATCGCAAAAAACCTTATCTTACGCTTATTACAAAGCCATTTGTATTTGAGATGTGTAGTTAAGTTTAGGAAGGTATCTATGGTATACAAATAGACCAGTCACAGATAAACACAATGCTACTGCTACCTGCTTTTGTGAGTAATCCCATCAAATAGAAACAACTTCATAATGACATGCAAATAATAAATTCTACAATAATTTGGTGGTGACTGTAACACACATTCCTTGAGTTTCAGACCTTCTTGGAACACCTTTATCACCTGAATCACAAAAAAAAATAATCTAAGTAGTCTACCAGACCTTCCTGCAATTTATCATCTAGAAGTAGTGAGTAAGTAGTAGAAATATGTTAAATTACTCATGAAATTGAACAAAAACGAAAAATCCTTAGATACATCTATAGGGGGGTGAAAGAAAATGACATATGGCGCAGAAGATATAATTTTGAACTATACACAGCATACAACGAACTGAGGTCATAACATCCATAAAGATCTGACATATGTGCTGGATAGGCCATGTTGAACAGATGTTGGAGACTGAAACACCAAAACATATAACGAGGTAAACGTCAGTAGGGACAAGTTCGAAGAGAAGACCCAAACTTAGATACATGAAGCAAGATCTGAAAACACTTAAGATTACCAACTAGAAAAACAGCAAGGAACAGAACAGAATGGCAGAAAATCCTAGAACAAGCTAGGACCCAGAAAGGGTTGTAGAGTTACTGATGATGATGAAATTTAGAGGTTACTTCAATATATTATACACAAATGCATAGTTTAGCTACATAATTTCTGGAATCGCTACATCCAAAGGGATGTATTAAAAAATAAATTTATCTAGGCAATCATGATGATCTAAGACTTCTACAGTTCATAGTATATAATTTGCACTAAAGTTAAAATTATGACACCATTAAGTACCAAGTAACAATCTCTAGAGAAAATATGTCTTTTGTATGAGCCAGTTATATATTCAAACTAAAAACACTTAAAACTTTGAACAACATTAAACAATTCAGTAAATCTCATATAGGGGTTTAGGTCCAAGAAGATTGGACACTTCCTAACAAAAAAAGAGTACAACATATCGAGAAAAACAAAACAGTTTTACAATAATGCATCTCAAAACTGTAAATTGTAATGATTTGGTAGTTTTTTGGTATTTTATTTTATCTGTTTTAAATAAAATTAACAGAACTGGAAAATTTAGTAAGACACGTCCTGTTTCACATAATAAATGTTACAACAGTTAGTATTAACAGGTAGAAACATAACACTTGTGTGCCAGGGACAAAAAAGTCAAAATAAACAGCAGTTAAAACCATCTGGCCGCTCACCTTAATGCAGAAAGGATGTGGTAAAAGTGTTTATTTACTTACATCAGGATCAGCCTCCTTTGCTAAAATACTAATTTCTTCAGCGGTTAATTTATCCAGTAGTTCATCAACATCTACATCATCGTAAACACTCAAATCTTTTCCATATAATTTTGCAGGGGTGGTCATTGTAGTTGTGGTGGTCTTTGTGGACGTCTGTAAAAATAGAAAACTGTTTATATCGTACGATACGACTGCAATTATCTTGTAAATAATAGTACTAAATTGTTTTCAAACGAATCGGCAACAATTTAAAACAGGGCGTTAACCTCAATTTTCCACTAAGTAGCTTATTTACAATGCAAAGTGGTACAAAAGCAGTACCTGTTAGAATTTGTTGTGCTGAAAGAGAATTTTCCACACCCAATAGCAAGTGACCCTAATTTTTTAATTGAAGATGATAGCTAATGAGATCACCAGGTACTTTAAACAAACCGATGACAGCAGATTGTTGATTTGACAGATCAATAACCAAATATGTAACTATTGTGAAGATAGTTAATAAACCTTGATGCTGTCATGTAACTTTTTAACTTTTTTATATCATCTGTGTTTTTTTTGTAAAGTAAAAAAACGTGTGCTTAATAGATTTAATAAACATAATGTGCGATTCTTTATTTGAAGATACCTTGTAATTACTCCTCATTATAGGTTAAAAATAAGTGCAAACAAATAAAAATCTTGTTTATATAATGTATTGAAGCATAGAGTTTTCCAAACTTTGAAAAGTTTACATTTGTGGCCAACTTCACGTCCTAAACAACGGCAATGATATAACAGGTGTTTATGATTATGTAAACGTAAACAACTACAATATCTGATTGTGAAAATAAAATTTTCTCAACATATACAATTTATCCGAGTTTCATTTTAGTTTTATCCTACAACTAAATAGTTTGCTGAATTTTTAAAACTTTAACCAAGGTTTGTAACATGTTTTACGCTTCGGTGAAACACTGGTTGCATACTTTTAAACGTTTAGAATGATATATGTAATTACTAATATAAAACATAAATTTAAAAATGATATCATAATTTATTAATAAAAGTTGAGCAAGAATGTATAAACAATTGCGTATAGTATTTTTTTTTGTTGATACGTATTTGCTGCGAACAAAGAACCATAAGATGTACAATAGGTAAATAAAATTAATGGAATCACAGGAATAATGAAAGTACTTTCTCCGAAAGAAGAAAAGAAGACTAAATACTAGATTAAAAAACAACTTAACGTCGAGAATAGTTTTATTTTCATACACAACGACCACTTCAGCTGAGAAATTCTCATGGCCTTAATAATTAAAAATATGTAACCCTGTCAAGATAATTGATTTACACTCCTACAAGCAACAGAATAATATTTTTCCGAGATAATTTATACATAGTAGTAGACAAGCATTGATCAGCTGGTGCCTGCAACATTTTTGACAAGATTTTCCTCCCAAATAAAAATAGTCGAAATCGCACACATGAAATTCAAGGTTATAAAAACAGGGCCGATTCAGAGATTTTCCGCCTCCATTGAGAAAATGTTAATATTTTGAATAAGCTGAATTTTGCTGAGAATGTCAATTTCGTGAGCCCAAAAAATGCAAAAAGTTTTCCTCTCCTAACCCCCGGCTTTCCCCGAAAACGCATACACTGAGTGGAAAAACGGAAAAATTCGATTTATCTAGAATCGTAGAAAAAATGTTTTAAATAAAAAATGTAGTTTAGATAATTTTAAACAAAAATATTTATTAGCACTTTTTATGTAGAATGGACCGTTCTCTCAGAAGCAACGGTTGAAGCTACCGGCGATTTTGAATGTTAGTTGTGGGCGCAGATAACATTTGTTTCAATTCGACGGTAAAAATTCGATATCTTTTAATGAGAGTGTACTATCGACAAAAATCAAAATGCGTTTTAAATGTGAAGAGTGTAGCTTTTGTATGAAAGCTCTGCATTTTGCCGTAAATGTGGTAAGTTTCTATAAATCTGTCCAATAAATAAACGTTGTGCGATTTTTACCATATTTTACGATTTTCATAAGATTAATGAAATGTATCACTTTTATTTACCAATAATAGTGGAATTTCGATTGTTAGCAGTGCCGAGAAGGTCACGAACGAACCGTTCACAAAGATCGAATCCTTTCGAGGACCCGTGATTGATACAATCACGTTCTGTGACCCTATCGTTCGAATGACCCTATGACTATGAAGTAATAGGACCCGATGTTGATCGGTCAATTCATGGCGCTGCTAAATTCATTGGAACGGGGAAGCCCCTACGCTGCAAAAGTGTAACATTAAAACATTATATACATTCGAATTGTCTAGGCAATGGTCTCGTATTCTGTTCTGTTTAGTTTAACGATTGAAATTGTTTAGTTTAGTTACAGTTTTAAATAAAATGGAAAAAATAAGACAAAAAGTATTATGCGGAATTAAAAGAAAAGCATTATGTGGAATTTTTTATTAAAGAGAGACGTTACCGAGGAAATGCGATGCAAACAACAGTCCTTACAACGTCAAAAGTAATTTTTTAAGCAATGCGCTTTAACATCATTGTTCTGATTTTCTCCAACGTTCTGTAAATGCTATAACAGAAGTTAAACACTTTGGAAAACAGTTGTTGGATAAGTTAAACAAATGTTTTCACCTTATAGAGGAAAATAAAATATATGTGGAAGCCACTTTATTAGATCCTCGTTTTAAAAGGCATGACTTAAACAATGGATCCGCTGTTGAACAAGCAAAGCAATTTTTAGTGACACAAGTGACTGCTTTAACAAGTCTAACTTAAAAACAAAATTCAATAAACCCTACACCACAAACCGAAGATCATGGTGTGGAAGAGACACAAAAATCTGTGTGGGCCGCATTTGACAATAAAGTAAGAAATCTTACTTTACATTGCATTTTTTATTTGAAACATTTTTTCTACGGCATACAGATTCCTGGTAAATCTATTTTTTTCGCCCCTCCTCTTTGGGAGGTTTTAAAGAGAAGCGTGGAGTAGCAGTGGTTAACTTTTTTGGCATTTCTTTGGGATTTCAGAATGGACATTCTCAGCAAAAGTCAGCTTGTTCATATGATTTTTAGAGGTTAAGTGCCATTTTTGTCTCTGACGACTGGATTAACATTAGTTTTTAGATTCAATAATGATCGGTCCTCCATGGAATCTTTATAAAACTATTCCAAATATTTAACAGAATTGGTTAGACAATATATTCTTTGTTACTTCAGATATTGTACCAATATTGAATAGTTTTTCATTAAGACTTTAAAGAAATTTTTCGATTGTATAGAACCACGTGAAAATCTAATATTTTGTAAATCTTTTTGACATAAATCCAATTATTATATGATTAAAGGAAGTAAAAAAGACAGTTTATAATATAATAAAGTATTTTGTTTTTGGTATATGAGACTAAACTATGGGTGTTAGGCGACACACAAGTTTCTTGAAAAAGTTCACGACATATGTTATAAGTTCATTGACCATTCCATCGTGAAAACAAACCAACGCAACCCCCAGACGTACAGCAGCAAGTATAACTTGTGCCCATTTCAGTTCATACCTACGATAATAAAGAAAAACTACTAAAATGTTGGCAGCAGACCGCAATGAAGATCAGCAAGTATCGAAAAAAGTCGAGAAAGCGAGCATGAGCGGTAAAATGATAAAAATGCTTAAGCAGCTATTGATGCAAGGTCTTTGTCCAAAAGAAGATCGACAGTAAAGCCTGAATGAAAGCTGCAAAAATTGACCTAGCAAAGTGATGTATTAAAATGGCAGCAAAGATCTTGTAAAAGTTATAAAACACATTAAAGGTCGGGCCGCAGCGTGAGGTCTACTAGGGTAAATTACTTTATCTACAATTTATAGGGTAATTAAAGAAGCCAGCGGAAGAATTTAAGTAACATATGACTTCAGACATTACAATTTAACGTTTATTCAAGAAAGTCTAATAAGCATGGATTACCATGATAATCAAGACAAAGAACTTACTAAACAATAGACATTATATTTACATAATATGTTAATATAATATATATACAATATAATATAATATGTTAATATAATATAATTATATATACGTTTATGACTAAAACATCCCAACTCTCAAAACTAGAAGATTGACAACTGTCAAAACTACTTGTCACAGTTGTCACTGTCTCTAGTTCTGTTGAGTTATACCAGTGACAGGGTATTTATTATCGATATGTTATTATAATAATGAGATATTGAGTTTCCGAACAACATATTTGTAAATGCTGTGCATGCTGTGCTGTGCTATGCATCGCACTAGCCAGTGCGATGACTCTTTTAGAAATCAAACAAGCAATTGGACTACTTCTTATACATAATTGCTAGGTACTTTGATACAAATGCCATTTTTGGAATTATCCTCGAATTGTAAATAAATTTCACATAAGTAGGTAATTATTTCTTCCACTCACTAGTTGGATAGTTCCGCAAATATTCTTCTTAAAGTGCTATCCCTATATCTTGCTAATCTGATTCTATATCGAAGATCATTTAATGGAGTTCTATTCTTCGAAAAAGTTATTATTTTCTGGTTTCCCTAGTCGATTTTATTTATGATTTTAGTTTTACATTCTTATGAAATATATAATATAGAGTCCACACTTAACATCATGAAAACCTTTCCCAGATTTCCAGATGCTGATATTACTGCAGATACAGATATAACTACCAATAGCATTTGTTTTGCAAGATTGTGGAAAATTGGAATGTATAATTCTGGAATGGACATCATGAATAAATTGAGTACTGTTAGGACTTCAGAACTGTTTCTGATGAAAAAAAAATGTATATGGTACATGAAGAATACTTAATACCAAAAAAATATTGAGAAATATATCTTTCGGACAAAAACATGATAGTACTTCTAGAATTAGAGGAAATATAGTCTAGAAAACACAAAGGAAAACAATGAAAATGTTACAATAGAAACTAACAGGAAGATAAAAGAGAGAAACACCCAGAACAAGTTTGGAACGTAGAGATTATGGACGTAAATAGCCAGAAGAAAAAGTTTCATATAGTATAAAGCAAAAGTAGAAATTTCTAAGTAATGTGTTTTTATTTTTGTTATCCAAATTATTTTTGGTGATATATACATAGACATTACGTATAAATATCTCTATAAAA